TTTGACTTTTAACCTGGTTTTTATTCTCCCTGTAGCTGGCAGAGGGTGGCCTCCTACAAGCTTCCAGGTAAACCTCAACGGCAGCACTAACTCTGTGTCGTGATCTGCCTGCTGGGCTTCAATAGATCAGCTGACATGAGGGGAAAATGGGATGATTTTCTTTACTAATGCGCGTCAGCTGTCGGTGGTGGCGATGCTGTAATCACTGTAGCTTTCTTCGTCGTTGTTTTGTAGCCACTCACTGCTGATTCTGTGGTGTTTTAAGCCTTGCTACATGGTTCAATTTTCTCCTGTCGCCTCCAGCTCCTGATTGAAAGCACAAAGTAAAAGTCTGTCGTCTTGTGTTGTTTCCAGATCGCTGCTGTCACACCACTTTCCTACAAGCACCTGAAGGAGCGCGAGTAAGAGGCAGCCTGGACACGGCACTGAAATCCTCCTCGTTTTGATTTTCTTTCATAATGAAAGCAACTTCAAAGGGTGGAGAAATATGAAAAGATGAAACAAGAGATCAAGATGAAGAGGATGAAAAAGATCATAGAAATTTAAAGACTTGAGGGAGAAGTTGAAATTGTTTTTGAAGTCTTTTGACTTCCGTTCCTTTTTTTGTTTTTTTGTTTTGCCCAGTGCATGCCTGCAGAGCAGTGCTCTTCTATATTTTATAAAAATAACTCCGATGATGGGCATGAGTCTTCTTCCTTTTCCTTTTTTGATATTTGCTTACAAATAAACGCTGCCTTGCCAGTAGCTAAGTACAACTACTTTGATCCATTAAGCAGTTGTAATATCCACTCCAAGAATGGTACATCTGCATGAAGGCTAAAAAAAACAAACAAAAAAAAAACACTTCTCTGATATTTAGTCACTGTGTTTTGCAAATCTTTTTATTTAAACTTAATCGCTGCACTTGTATTTTTGCAATATTTTTTTTTCCTTTTCTTTAATTATTTTAATATTTAATTAAATATTCACACCTTCCAATCCAAATCATTCCAGGTAAAACATTACTAAATGTGATATCCGTGCAGCTGAAAGCAGCACACAGACTGTTAGTGTAGTTTTAGCTTATTTCTTTGATTTTTGTGGATAAAGAGGATATCTGTTTCAAATGATAACTTATAAGAAAGGTCAAATATTATTACTCAGCCCAAAAAGTGTGTCTGTGTGAGATTGAGCAATAGATTTAAGACTCAAAGCACGCGCCAGCTATGAAACGTTACTTGGCGCGTGAGCTGAAATCTTCCAGCCTCAAAGATAAGTTAATAGGTTCCAGTAGGAGATAAGAAAATTAATATATGTGCTGTAACGTGCAAAGCTTAGACATGTGTGTTAACATCTGCTCAAAGCCAAAACGACGAACGTAGTGCAATCAGGTTGGGCCTTTATGGTGACAGGCCTGTGTGCATATCGTGTGGTTGTGTTGTACAGAAGTGCATACATGTGTTGGATGAAGATAGCCACCCATGCCTGCGTGTAAAGAAGCGCAGGTGTACTTGAACTTCATTGATTCGGGTCAGTTTGACATTTTCTGCACTATTAGAGAAACTGGTTTCTTTGTTATGAATCTGGTCAGTTATAATCGAACCACATGCATACGGTATCCGTTAGATAAGAAAACATCACATAGCCAATAATCATCTGTACACAACAATAAGAAATTTATAATCATTAGTGTTTATATTTTGTCTCTTCGGATGAGTTTAGGTTTGAAAGTGTTTGAGCAGAATCAGCACAGCTTAAAGTCACTGTGAGGTGCTGATAGCGTGAACTGTTCACATTTCCTCCTTTAACTTTTAATCTGTAGTTCTTTATACATTCCATCCAAACATAACATGATTTCAGACACTTTGATACTCTTTTTCTAATATCTTTTACTTTCTCTCATCATATTAAATCTACTTGCCATATTTATTATTATTAAGTGTAATTTTACTCACTGAGGTTATATTTTTATTACATGTATCTTTTTATTATTCAGAGAATGTTAAGCTTTGTACCAGTGGAGCTCATGTGTTGATGTCCGGCTCTAAATCGAGACAGTATCAGTCCCATTCAGCAGTCTGTGTTGTCTGTAAAGACCAGGCAGCCCCTTCCCAATACGCTCCCCAACTCCCCAGATCAATATCCAGTTCTGTTTATCTTCCTATGTAAAGTACAGTCCTGGCCATAGGTTTACATACGCTCACTGTGACTTAATGTGATGTTAATTTGAAGCTTTAAAGATAGTGGTGGGTGTTATATCGGATATTGTGAATTATATAGAATATATATAGATATTTTGTGGCACTACTGTGATAGCGATAAGCATTATGATTAAAATAAAAACTATTTATTACGCATTTTTTTGGGTAACTATAATATTCTTGAAAAATATTCCCATTTTCATCAGGCTTCTTCAGGACACCACTTACTTAAAAAGTTTCATTTATAACTGTAGAGTGCACATTTAATCTTTTTTTTTAAATTAACTCCCTTATATTCATTGATGCTCTCTTGGAACAAACAGTGGAGAAAATAGCAAAACATAACATCAATAACATTTCCGAACATGCCATCAGTTTTCTTTAGTTTTTCATTTACGATAAATCATCATTTTCATCAAAAGAAATTTTTCAATATTAATGCCCACCGCTGTTTATAAAGTGAATTTATATGACTTGTTTTTCGTCCAAAATGGAAGGATGCTAAAGCATGTAAGGTAATTTTCAGGAAACAGAAATTGGAAATTGTGTAGATAAGTTGAAATGTATTCAAACCTCCTCACTAATGTGTTTATTCTATCAAGCCCCACCTAAATAATATTCTCTTTGTTTTCATCAAAGATAATATTATTTAGCCACATGCATTTCATTAAAATTCATTGGGTTCCCGTCACATGTCCTTCTTTAAGATTAGTTCTTAGGTTTTCGATGGGACTGAGGTGAGGCTCATTCAGGATGTTTGTAGTTAACCTTCCAGGACTAGTTTTGATGTGTTTGGGGTCAATTCAAGATAAATGTCTTGCTGATCATGTTACACATCACATAACATTGACAAGATGAATCTGTTATTTTTATGTTACTTTTACTTTATGTTTATATGCATATTGTTGCATGTATATTTATGTATTGGTTTCCTTTACCCTGTTAAGAGTGCAACATGTATTTTCTTCTATTTATATGGCTAAAAATAAATCAATAATTGAAATAAGAGAAGGGACACAGTGCAAGAAAACAAGGAACAGCGGCAGAGAGTATGCTAAAAGAGAAAAAAGTGATAAAATAATATAATTATACTACCAATGGCTAAGAAGCTTTTAAACCTGAGAAATCAACTATCAAGCCTGGTGGTGGCAGCATCATGCTGTGGGATTGTTTCACTGCCAGTATTACTGGTAGGAATCATGAAGGAAGGAGAACGCGTCTAAATGTTTCTCCTCAAATCGACAGCTTTCAGCTTTGTTCGAACTGAACATTTTTACAGAACAATCCCAAACAACAATCATCAAAACTGGTTTTGGAAAGGACTAAAGAGGATTCTGGAATATTTAATCATATTCAAAATGTTAGAAATGTGGTGTCTGTACCAGGAAATCAACCAATTTAAATGTCCAGTTCTGATTTGATAAATGTTCACATATCCAATTGAAATGACACCAGAAGGTTGTAAAAACTCAGAGAAGCTAAAACACATTTAACCAAATATTAGTGGGGCTCTGTGGATACTTCTGGCAATATTGATTAGAAATTCGCCCTTCAAAGCCCAAAGTTATTAACTTTCTTGCAGATGAAGTGTGTATGTAAACTTTTAACCAGAACTGTAACACTTATGTAAAATTGATTATGATTTGTGTCCCAGCTCTTGTCGTTGTGTGTTTTTCTTGCTTAAATCTTTAGATTGTTACTCACTATAACAAGAGATTTGGAATGGAAAATCTTAAGCCGTCGCTGAAAATACAGGAAGTAAAAGGTCACATTGGATGGGGCTGCCTGCTTTAACAAATGAGAAACCTTTAAATAACTTCAGAAATGCTATTTTCAGAGCTTAAATATGTTTGAATCTAATATTTTGCCTGTTAAAAATGAATGGATTGTATTTTTAATGCAACTTTTTTCCAGGCACTTTTTTAAAGAAAAAAAAATGAAATAAGAAAAAAAAGAAAAGAGAGAGAGTAAGAGGCTCTGTGGGTGTCTGTCTGTCTGTGGAGGTGGACACTTTCAGGCACCTCAGGCAGGGATTCCTTGCCGCCTCCGGCCTTTTGAGTCTCCAGCTTCACCACTCCAAACCTCCGAGCTGAATGTACCTCTTTGAAATATCAAAAATAACTCAAGATTTTCTGTAATAAAGCTGAAAGTTTTAAAGAAACGGCCTTCTTTTGTGACTTATTATGGTAGAAGGTGTGTCAGCAGTTTGTGTCTAGTGCAAAGATTTGTGGGTGTGTGTCTGTGTGTGCGCGCAGGGTTTGTAGCCACCCTCAGCAGATGCTGTGCAGTAATGAGATGGCCGAGAGGCTAAGCTGGATCAGCTGAGTGGCCGCCGTAAGAGGTCAGCGTGCCGCTGCTCCGTGTGTGTCCTCAAAGGAAGAAAACCTCCAGCCTGATCTCTGAGATTTCCAAACCTCTGTGTCTTTCTCTTCAGCGTGCATAAATCTGCTGAGCGCTGATCCATTTAGACGAGTTGTGGGCTGAGCAGTGGGCAGTTCAGCTGAGAAAGGCTCTCTGTAACAGTATGTACACAATGACACCCTTTCTTATTTGTTCTGCGGTTTTGAATGTGATTTCTGTGTTAAAGCCTGTGTTTCACATGGGCCAAACTTGCTGGCAGAGGGAGAGAAAGATGTTTATTTTCAACAGCCAATCTGTTCTGCTCAACGTGCATTTATTATATAATAAAACAGATTAACTGATGAATATGTTAGGCGGCCATCCTGAACAGTGAGGCCTGCATGAAGAAGTGTGAGGGAAAGTAGGGAGGGAGCTGGCAGCCAGTCAGGAGCGGACTCTTGAGCTTTGCTCGGTGCAGAGCTGACGCACTAATGCTCCGGGAGGGGAGGGGAAGGGACAGGCAGCCGTGGCCAGATGGAGCTCTGTTTGTTTTGAAGCAGCTAACTGCTGCTGAGAGCAGGACACACTGTCGACTGGTGTGTATCAACCAGAGGAGAAAAAGACATCGCACTCAGTCGGGGCTGCGACCGGTCAGCGAACTGCTGCTGCTGCTGCTGCTGCTGTTTGTGTGTGTTTGTGATGTAGTCGTGTGTTTCAGCGTGGAGGCGCTCTCTGCAGCTTCAAGGTCGACAGCCTTTTAGGGAACTTCATGGATTTCTCGTTGTAGAACGTGAAGGTGTCGGTAAACTCGTATTATGGAAGGCCGGACCAGCGAGAAGACGATGTGAGGAAGCTGTTGTCCCAGCCTGACTCTGTGACGGAAGCAGAGGGAATGGGCCCAGCCTCGCTGCAGGAGGAGAGGGACCTGGCCAAAGAGTCTGCAGAGATGGAGTGCTACCGCTGCCTTCTGCAGGCCGGCTCCCAGCTGGAGAGCACCCTGCAGCGTAAGTTATTGATGCTGACGGACGTTATGAATCATGTCAGGCTTCTCAGTGCAATCCTTTGTGAGTTTCGTCCTCTTCTTCACAATTTAACGAAAAGAGCACATCTCCGCTTACTTTAACCCCAAGTTCCAACAGACGGTAACTGGAGATGTGCAGCTTCACTATTATTGATGTACTAGTTCCTGTAGCTTTGCTTCAGCAGTGGACCAGTGCAGGGATTATGTGAGCTATTTTCAGCCACCCCAGATGGATGCATTTTCAATCTATAGGAAGGATTTGTAGCCGGAATCAGCATATTGTAGATCACTGTTACAGAGATTAATGCGGCCCGTAGTTTTCATCAAATAGTCATAAAAGTAGGTATGGCCAAGTTGATATTTATTGTTGGGGCACAAGACCGTTGAGACTTACATTGGAAAATGAAGGATAGACTGAAAAAGTGCATGTTAGCTGATTCACTTTTTGACATTTTCTGCTTGTTGAATCTGGCCTGGATTTGACAGCTGAAAGAGAAAATGCCTTTCTGAGAGTAACACTCTAACACTTTCCACTCACTATTCACTCTAATCTTCTTACAGAGTGTGTGTAGAACTGTTTCACATTTTGCACACTTTACAGATCATCAAACAAATTTGGACTATCAAAGGTGAATAGAGTGAATACATGAATACTTTACTCAGCCATGCAAACCAAAATCTGCCTTACAATTAACCTCCTTCTGAAATCAATTAATTGTTTTTTTTATTGGCAACAATCTCAATCAAGGATAATTGTCTTGCTGATTAACCTAAGTGGGCATTTTACTGAAGGATTTTTTTGGTGGAGAGGAATTTAAGATTAAATTGGTTAAAGCAAGTCCTCCTGGTTAAGAAGCAACAAATTATGCCGAACCATCACATTAATGCCACTGTTTGACTGTTGATGTTATGTCCTGGTTCTAAAATCATGTTAGTTTTCTCATCACTGAACATTTTCAGTGTTCATTGTGTTCACCAAGACTGTCTTGGTGAACACAAAGATATTTTTTCTTGATACGGGGTTTTGTTTCATTTTTAGTTAGCAGTGGTTTCCACCTTGAAACTTTTCCCATTGGTTCCATGTTTGCTCAATATCTTTCTTATTGCTACGTCATTAATGTTGACATTGCTGCAAGCCTCATTTGCCTTAAATGTCTTAAACATGTTTCTAGGTTCTTTGTGAGTCGTCAACACGTTCTATTAGTTTTAGTCAGCTGGACATTTCTTGGAAGGTTCCTGTTCCATCTTTTCTCCATTTGTGGATAATGGCTCTGACAGTGGTTTGCTGGAAATTAGAAAACGCAAGAGAAAAATGCATTTCAGGAAAATCAATGCATTTTTCTATTTACAGTTGATGGAACACACTGCTTGTAATAATGCAGGTATTGCTCCAAGAACAACTTAAATGACACTAGAGACAAAATCCTGCAGGAATTATTTTATTGCAGTGGTCTCAAACTCCAGTCCTGCAACTTTTTGATGTCTCTCTGCTTGAGCACACATGACTCATATATTAGCTCAGTTAGACCTCTGTAGATGCTAGTGAGCAGTTTTACCATTTAATCCAAGCATGTAGGAGAGGGGCCACATCTAAGAGTTGAAGTTTGAGACCACTGTTTTATTGGATGGAGGACCACAAACGAGAACATTTAAAGCATTGTCTCCACTTCACAGGGCTGTTCTGTACAGTTTCTTCTTCTGGCTTTTCTGAAAACTAATCCAGCTTTCATGTATCCCAGTGGATGTTTTTTTTTTTTCCTCCACTCTGGTTTCTACCAGAATCCTGCCACCAACCAGTCTAATCCCTTAAGCATTTAAAGCTTCATTTAGCAAAAAACCTCATGACCTTTAAAGCAGTATGAGGCTCGGCCTCAGCGTTTTATGAAAGTGTTTGTGTGACATTGTGCTTCTTAGCCTGCCATGGATTAAGAGGTTCTGCTTTTTTTTGGTGTCTGTGAAATCAGAGCGGATGCAGCATTTCTGGGTTTGTGCTCTAAATTCAACCAGACCCTCTTCACTACACTGGATCTCCTTTTTCAATGTTTGGAAACAGGAGCACACCAAATGAAAATGTTGGCTCTCTTTTGTTTTCTTCCCTGATGAAAATAAAAGAAGGTTATTTTTTAATGTATGTTATGGATAAAAAGGGGAGTTATATAATGTAGAGTGCTTGTTACAGGTGCAGCATGTGATGAAGCAAATGTAGATGGTTATCGTTGTTTGGACAACAGAGATAAGCTTCCTGCCCTCAGCACACTGAAGGGATTGGTCTGAAGTAAATCACTGTTTCCATCCACACTGGAAACCTTTTATTTCTTCTATCTATGTAAGAACAGAAGAGCAAGCAGAGCTTTGCACACTGTGTCCTACAGCATGTCGGCTGAAGAGGTCATGTTCAAACATTCCCAATGTGAAAAAAAGCACACCCAGGTTTGTTTTCAATAAAATAGAAAGGATTTGATATTCTTTTCATTTTTTAATACACAAAGTCATGCATACAACACAGCTTAAAAAATCTGAATACGCCAAAAAAGTTCAATACTTTTAATCACTCATTTCAGAAAATGAAAGTTGTATATTATAAAGAGATATGTAGTGAAATGTTGCAAGCCTTTCTTTCAAGTAATTGTGATTATTACAGGTTACCGAAGAGCTGGACTATAAATCAATAACAATGTAGATCACGACGCACATGTTACCAATAGATAATACACCTGATAGAATATTCAATAATTTCACTGAACTGCACAGCATTCTGGGTGATGTAGGCACATGAAGGACTTTAGCCGCTAAACCTGTAATGGCCAGCTGAGAAGGTTTGTGGCATCAATCAATTCACTTCCTGTTTGGTTACCTAGCAACAACCTGTTAGCGTGGTGTAGCAGCAGTTTAGGGTTTTGCCACCATACCTCATAACTGCTTAGAAATGAAGGACAATGCGATGGAAAACTCTGGATAAAACAGGAACGGTCACACCACCAGTTTGGTATTATGTCAGATATTTAAAACAAAAAAACAAATAAATAATTATCGATATGAACTGATATGAAACGCCGTAGTATGCTTTTCAGCCATATTGTCCATCCCTAGCTTATGGATTATTAGTCTACTTACTGGTGGTTACCATAAGACTTTTGGCAGCTTCTCTCATCTGAACTGGTCATGCTTTATTTTATTTAGCGTTGTCTGAGTAAAGGGGAAAAAATAGAGCTGTGCAGTAGAAATCACATCCCAGATTTCTATTATTAAAGAAAGTAAACAATACATATTCTTTTTCCCTTTTTTACTTATATGCACTACTTGTACTCATGTAAAGCACTTTGAATTGCCTTGTTGCTGAAAATGTGCTATATAAATAAAATTACCTTACCTTACCTCATTTATCTGTAGCATGAAAAATGCAAAACATATTTTGTTGTGAGATGACAAAATGTGAAAAAGTATTATGAATACTTTAAAAGGCACTCTGTATAGATAGGTTCCTATGGTAGTAGCATGAAGCATTGCTGAAGTAGCGCAAAGCAATCAATCATTAAAGGAGCTGCTAGTATTTCAGGGTCAAGAGCGAGTGTGGTGTTTCCATAAAATTGCAAAGTTTATAAACAGCACTGCGGTTTGCTGCATAGGGCATCCTTCATTTGATAGATACAGGAGCTCTGCACTTTAATTAGGCTGACTTCCCTCTTAAGGTCAGGAAAATGTGCTTACAAAGTTTCTACTTATCCGTTCCAGTTTATGCAAAAACTTAACCCTGCACTTCCTGAGGTGTTGGATGTCGTCCTGCAGCGTAGATTGAATTAATAATAATCTTTAACATCGCTTTATGTCCGTTTAAAATCTTTCCCCATTCTGCTGCTGTTTTCCAGGGCTGGATATTAACGATCACACGGCTATTCAAGTGTGACAGTAACTTTATCCTGGATGTGTGTGTCTGCACAGCATCCAGTTCTGCTGCTTTGGTCTGACTTGGCTCAACTTCTCTCTGTTACTGACACACATGAAATATTCAGCAGCTACTGTGCTTATTACTTGCACAGGATTACTGCAGTCGCCTCATGGAAAATAACACCTAGTTTGCTCCTATAATCGCTCTCCAGCCTTCCCCTCCTCTTTTTTCATCTGTTTCTGCTCCTCTGCACTGATTAATTTTTCATGAGGAAATGATGAAATTTGAGAGAATCATTGCACTCTGATCTGCTGCAGCTGAAGGCAACATTTTGTAAGACTCAAATAAACCAATACATCCATACTGTGTAATGCAGTCACTCTTTACTTTGAGGATCAACCAGGATCTGCATTAGACGTTTGCTAACAGTGACATGACAATATTGTGCATCTGCTCTGTATCAGACAGAGCACTGCAGTCTGCAGACAATAGCCTGGTATAAACTACAATGACTATCTCTCCACTACTGAGAGGAACATTAACTGAGTTAAGATGGCCACCTAAATGCTGCTTTATCCTAGAATATGTTGCTGTAGAATGAATACATTTTCTTAATGCAGGCAGGGACCGGAGATTTTAAATGTGTACACAACCCTGGTAATTGGGATGTAAAGAAATTGACTACATGTTCAATAATTGATCAACTTTTTCTGCCTTCAAAGTGATATACATCCTGCATAATTAAACTGAAAAACACATTTATGGAGACCAAGTAAAAAACAAAAAAAAAGGTTGGATAAATGTGCAGACCTTTAGTGTAAGATCCTGAGAAATCAGTCCTTGATTCAGTTTTAGCATTCAGCAGTCAGATCTGCTACTAGGATTTTTGTTACATTATTTGCCCCCTTGAAGTCGGAGTTTAGAGGAACTCTTAAAAGTAAACAAAATATCTTGCAGTTCCAAGTGCACATGACTTGATGAGGAAAAATGAGACTGATTTAAACATCACATCCTGTATAAACAAAGTATTTGTTTTATATTTTCAGTGGGGAAGTTTCAGTCGGCAGCATTCGTGTTTTAGAGAAATAGTAATCTGAATTAGAATCAGTTTTATTCACCAAGTTTAACCTTGACTGACTGGCAAAATGTCAAAAAAAGACAAAAGGCATTTCCATTTCATCACTGGAACTGTGAAGTTTAAAAGACGGGAACTGAAGCATCGACAAGGTGATCCCCAAAGAGCTGTCTTCTGGAAACTATTGGCTCTGGAGAACAGACAGAAAATGAGTCAAAGAGAAGCCAACAAAATGTGCAGTGAGAAATCTTTAAGGAGCAATAACTCAAAAACACTTAGACAAATTACAAGAACTCTGGTTTATTGGAAATAAAGTATAGAAAATTGTGTTGGTTAAAACTTTTTCATTTAATTAAATACTGATTGGCTTGACAAACACTTAAATTAATTCATAAATATTCCCACTTACTATCATTGTGGTGCAGCTCAAGTTTCTTTCTACTTGTGTCACGCTGTAGAGGTGACTGTCCCTTTGAGCCTGAAGGAAGTGGGAGGATATATAGAGAAACAAGTTGCATATCTGTCAGGTAAGTTCTTCTTCATGATTCACTTACCTGTGCCACATATTGAATGTGTTACAGGACGTGACGCTTATGCTTCTGTTTTTCTCCAGGAGGGCGCGGGGAAGACTCGAGCGTCATCATCACCCTCCCAGAATGCTCAGCGTTCAGTGACATCCCAGAGGAAGCTTTAGCCAAAGTCTTTACCTACCTCACCCTCATCCCTCGGTGCGTCCTCCATCGTTTAGCTGCTCTTCCTCGCTGACTCTCTCCCTCTTTCTGCACTGCACCAAATCCTGGTATTCTGAGCACAGCAGGCGCTGCTGATCAGAGTCAAATGTCCTACTGATGCCCTTTTTGTCATAACCTCATCTCTCCGGAGATTAGGGAAGACTGTAAGGTCAGAGGCTTATTATCCTCTCCAATGTTCTATTCAAAGACTGTAATCCATTTAGATGAAGAACACTTAATTACATAAAATAGTATTATTTGAATTCACATTTTTGTTTCTGTTATAAGCCATAAGTGTAATAACTGAAACTAATGACAAGGATGCATATTTTTGTTTGTAGAACAAGACAACCAGGAGTGAAATTTATCATCATTTTAGACAGAAGACTGGATACATGGGCCTCCATCAAAACCGCTCTGGCCAGGATAGCAGTAAGTTCTTTCTTTCTTTCTTTCTTTCTTTCTTTCTTTCTTTCTTTCTTTCTTTCTTTCTTTCTCTATCTTTCAGTCTGTCTCTTCGTTTTTTGTTTGTTTCTTCCTTTCTTTTGATTCTTTCTTTCCTTCTCTTCTTTCACGCTGGGTCTTTCTCTCCTTGTCTTCTTTAACAGGTTCGGTATTTGATATAAATTCACTGGTGCAGTTGTGTATTATTTAAAAAAAATGAACCCAGGAAAATGTGAGTCTGGAAAAGGTTTGAATTTAAACCGAACCCTGTACTGAGGAGTTGCTGTCCATGGTCCTGACGCAGATCTTTGTTAGGTCAAGTTTTCCTCCTCTCATTTATGCGTATTAATGTTAAACTTGCTTGATTTGGGTGAAGGATTGTTTTCATGGGGATCCTATTCGTGCCGTCTGTTCGGAGAGTCCCCTCTGCATATGACTGCAAACGCATGAATAAGCAAAAACTGTGCGATGACGCGGGAAGCTCAGGCGGGGAGAAAGGATGAGGAGGAAGCCGGGCGGGCGGAGGAAATGTTGCAGAGATCGCAGAGGCACAGGGCGGCAGCAGAGCTCCGGCTGTTGCCAGGCGGTCGGGGGAAAGAGCCGCACATCTTACCTTGGCACCGATTTCCAGCGGTCAGCCGGGAAATTATATTGACTAGAGATGGCTTCCGACACCATGACTGATTGCTTTTTTCACCGAGGGATGCCAAAGGTCCGGAGGAGCCCGGTAACGAGTGCCTTCTGTATTCTGGTTCTTGGTGTGCAGAGTTTGGGGTTAAGTTTGTAGACGGGCAGGGTGTATGCGGCAGCGGCGCAGACTGTAGCACTGCGGTGCAGAGGGAGCTTCTGCTTAGTCATGCAGCGGGCTGTCTGCACGTCCTGCACAAAACCGATGATAGATTACATTTTTATCTCCAAATAAGGACATAAAAATGCGCCAGGCTAAAGGAATCTAAGAAGTTGCAACTTGCTAAAACGAAGATAAAGCATTGCGTAATGGCCACACGTTCAAATGTTGCTGCATGAGTTAGCTTAAAAAAAAAAAAAAAACAACAACCTTGAATTTACTTTGGGCTCATTTAATTTACTATCGGTTCAGTGCGGTAGGCGGGTGCTGCTGTCTTCATTAGACCTCATTGTGTCTGAATGCTGTCTCGGGGTCAAGCCATGACCTCAACCAACCTAAGGTTGAAGTGGTGTTTTAAAAAAGGTGGGAACTGAACTTTAAATCCAGATCAAATGCAACTGCTTAAGCAACAAAGTCTCATACATTGCAGTATAAAAAGTAAAAACAAAAGTGCACAATGGAGTACAGTGCATCTGAGAAAGTCGATGAAAATATCAGGAGTGATGCATTCATGAAAGGAACAATGAGTTTGGTTATTGGTAACATGATGTCCATGTGTGATTATATTTGGTTCTTCTTTTCTCCATCAAGGCCTCCTTTCCTGGGAACCTCCACCTGGTCTTGGTGCTCCGACCCACCAGCTTCTTCCACCGTACTGTAACAGATATTGGTTTCCGCTTCAGCCAGGATGACTTCATGCTCAAGATGCCAGTAAGGCAGCTACTCTTCAGTTACCAAATTTGTCTCACTTCATGACAAGGTACACCTCATCATTATTGTTACAAACCGGAGCTCCATAAGTCAAATGTTTCCTGGTAAACTAATTTCAGTTTCAACATTTGTTTTTATCACGCTATACCGTGATTTTGGTAGTTCAAAGTGAAAAAAATGTTTCATATTACCCATCACATTGAATAAACAGGGCATGAATAACATTTTTGACCGTAACAATGTTTTTGAATGATTGAAGACTTAAAAAGTCGTGTGAAAGCAGGTCTTTTTGTGAGCTCTCAGGTTTGTCTTAATGTTTAGGTGGTGATGCTGAGTTCTGTCACAGACCTGCTGCGCTACATTGATGAAAACCAGCTGACATCAGAGTTCGGAGGCACTTTGGACTACTGTCACAGTGACTGGATTGTTTTACGGACGGTAAAAGGATTCACTAACAAGCTGGAGGCCAACATTAAATTATAACTATTAACAGTTTTTGTTAAGTCATCGCAGGAATTTTTGTCTAAAGAAATGTCTCAGAGAAGTTAACATACGTTTCTGTTTGCTTTTCACTGCAGGCTATTGAAAGTTTTGCCGTGACGGTGAAAGACATCGCTCAGATGCTGCAGGGCTTTGGCACCGAGCTGGCAGAGGCAGAGCTGCCAGACGAGGGGAAAGCCATCGAGCAGCTCCTGGAGACACACACTGAAAAGTACAAAAAGCTCAAGGTAAGGCTGCATGCAAGGTGCATGTACTTACATTACAAAATCTGATCTCGACCTGCATTTTTCTAATGTAAATTGGTCTCTGGAAGGATGCAATAAGGTCGGTTTCAAAGGAGGGTCGCCATCTTCTGTCCAACTTGGAAACAACTGGGAAGGATGATGATTCCCAGTGGGATGTGAAGCTGGACTGGGAGACAGTACAGAGGTAAATGGTGTCTTTAATGTTGCCTGCATCCATATAATATGTTTATTCACTACACCTCTGCTACAATGGACTGACAGTTCCTCTTTTAGGCTTCTTGCACAGCTCAGAGACATGGAGTCGGCCTTTGACGGCTTCTTTGAGAAGCATCATCTGAAACTGCATCAGTACCTTCAGCTGCTCCGATACGAGCAAAGCTTTCAGGAGGTGATGTTGTTACGTCATTTTCACTGTTCGAGCGCTAGAGGGAAATCTGTGTGCAGTTCTTAAGGCTGTCATTTGATAAAAATATGCAAAAAACTGATTCTGTGAAGAATGCAAAACAATTATATCTTAAGTTGACTTTTATTGTAAGCTGACACTTTAGGTCTTTGTAAATCAGTCATTTCTACAGTTTTAAACAGGCAGTAGTAGCAGACGTGCTTTAAGATAGGTGTTAAAACCAGGGTTAATGCCTAATGTTTAATGTTTGCATGTCTGATTTATCTGTTTGTTTAGATGGAAATGTGTCTTGAACATCTCATGCATCAGGAGAGAGAATTGTCCATAAATGTGAACACTCTGGCTCAAACAGAGCAGCTTCTGAAAAGACTCGACGACCTGGAAACTAACGCACAGGTCAGGATTTTTCATATTTAATGTGTTTTTTCACCAAATAAGTATAGGTTATTTAGATTTTATATCTTAATATTTCATATCATAATTGATTAACATTTTTACTTCACTTGATTCTAAAAGTTGTCTAGTTTTAGGATTAATTCAAGAACATTTGTTATTAAAAAGGGGCTGAATTTATTTCCTGTATGGTTTGGTGAAGCTGCATTTCCTGGTGGATTTGCAGTCGTTTCATAATATTCACTTGGTGAAATGTCCAAAGCTTAGAATATTATTTTATAGCCCAGCCCTATTTCAGACTTTTCCACACTTTTACACTTTCCCTGTCTGCTGTGCTCTTTAGTCGTCATGATCTCCAGATCATGATGCTGCCGTCACAGGTAGCTTAATTTGTTGTTCAGTTTAGCTTCCTACCATGGTGATTTGCTTTGTGTAGGCCACAAAGTTGGCATTTGATTGGACCCCATTTTACTTTGGAGTTTCATAGAAAAGGAGGTCGAATGCAAAGACACATGTCACACTCTTCAGATTTCTATATGTAAAATAAAAAAACTTCCTGCACCACTTTCATTTGGTGTATGAAATAAAATCTGGATAAAATATGTCTTTTTCCTTTTGCCTCTCCCAGGAAGTGATGTCTCGAGCCCAGATCATCATCCTCCACGGACACCAGCTGTCAGCGGGTCACCACTACGCCATGGGGCTCATCATGCAGCGCTGCAATGAGCTCCGCCACCACTGTGACACTCTCTCTGCTGCGCTCAAGTCCAAGCACTCTTTTCTGATGCAAACACACCAACTGCTGCTTTGTCTCGGGCAGGTATTAAAAAAACACACCTTTTACTTTTTAAACACATAAAGAATCGTAAAGCATCTTTCTGCTCTCTGCCTCCAGGCCCAGACTTGGTGTGATGATGGAGCGTATTTGTTAGCAAACCAACTAGTAGACAAGTCCCAGTCCAAGGAGGGCGCCCAGATGTCTCTCAGGGAAATTGAGAAGTTCCTGGAGGGGGCGCCGTCTATGCTGAGCTCAGGTCACGATATTCTGGCTATTGAATACGAGGCTGTCATCACACCTCAGCTGCAGGTTAGCGACAAGTCATCATCTAAAAAGCCTAGTCACCATTTTCTTCCCTTCATCTTTGCTTTCTTTTGTCTCCTTGTCAGACTCAGATTGGGAATATGTTTGAAAAGCATGCAGCAGTACAGCAGATGATCCAGAACCGACAAGCTTCTTTGAGGAAGCTGGCTGACAGACATGTGCGACCGATCCAGCTGGTGGCCCCCAGACCCGAGAACCAACCTCGCGCCAAGTCACCGCTCTTCTCCCCTAAACATGGTATTCAAATTAGACCACGTTTTATTAGAAAACACACAGACACGTAATATAGAACTGATCCTCACTGGCAGGTAACCAGACTGGCATGCAACTCTTGTAACCTCCTCGATGTGTTTTTTTTTTTTTTTGATTCAACATAGTGTCCAATTCACCTCCTATCACAGTGACAGCAGGTTTTCTCCCATGGCCAGATTATCACATCACAGGTTCTCTCCACGGCCTGGGGGGTTTTGTACCGCCTACAAATGAGCTAGAAAAAGGACAGATGTTATCATCAGTCAGTCCAGAGGGAAACAAGTGACCGCTCAATAGCTTCCATGCAACCTTTCATTCTTCATGCGCTTAAATAACTTTTTGTCTCATCCTGTGCCTCTGGAGAGGCTGAACAAAGCAAACATATAGTAGAGCCAAAAGTTAGCAATTTACTGCAAGAACATCTTCAGATATTTTCATTTTTGGGGAAGATATACTGTTGATCTGTTTCTTTTTTACCAGCTCAGGAATCCATTTGAGTCTGCTGCATTCACACTTATTGTCTTATGTTCTGAACTTGGGGTTTTAAATAGGTTCTCTTCTCAGTTTAACTCCTATTAACACCGTTATTAAGCTAATGAGTCGTCATTGTGGGTTTTACAGGTGATGGCTTGAAGTTCACGTTTGACATTTCACTTCCTGGCAAGAAATCATCCCGGAAAAGTCCAAATCCCAGAAAAGTGAGAAAACTTTGTTCCTTCATTTTTGCTCCTGCTTAGAATGACTAAATTGTATATTAACTGTCGGTTTAATCTAATGATTAGTCCTTGAGATGTTTTCCTTAAAAGGATAGTTCAGAAGTTGTAAGGTGAGTTTTTGTTAAAGGGTTTTAGCAGTTAATATCAGTAGATAAGATCTCCTGGCATCTTCTTTTATATTTATATTTTATAATCCAGACCCAGAGGCTGAAGGCAACAGCTAGTCCAACAGGGGCCTTGGCTTAAAGTGGACTTTTACTGCATTAAAACAACTGAATCTGAATTTATACTAAAAAAGATTCCACTGCAAGAATGATGTTACCGTTTGAACCTCACTCCTAAAGTCCAGCTATCCCTTTAATATCAGACAGTAAGTTCAGTGCCGACCTTTCTCCGGTCTTTTCAGATCGAGGTGATTCATGACTACCAGGAGAGTCGGAGCTGCGTCTCGTACAGTCTGGATGGAGACGACAGCCCGGATTTCTTAAAGCGGTAAGAAGGAGAAATCCGTCCATCCATCCATCCGTCTTTCTGTTCTCAGCACTGCTTTTGATGTTTAGTCTGTGATTCTCTTTGCTTTGTGCTAACGATGCCCTCTGGCTGTCTTTCTCTGTCTTCCTGCATTTGTTTGTCTCAGACGTGTAATGAGGGAACTTATAGAGACTGAGAGGATCTATGTGGAGGAGCTTCTGTCAGTGCTGCTGGTAGGAATCAGTTCAAACAGTTGGATTTTACCTCATGATATTTGTTTTTGTCACCTATATTTGCTCCCTGAACACACGTTGCTGCTCTTGAAAATGCAGGGTTACAGAGCTGAAATGGATAACCCAGCTCTGTCGGGGCTTCTGCCGCCAATACTACGCAGCAAGAAAGACATTCTCTTTGGAAACATGCCTGAGATCTACAACTTTCACAGCAGGTGTGTTTTATTAACGAGTCCCAAAGCAGAGCAACACTGGTGCTGTCACTGGAAAGTCACAGGCTTACTGAACATCTAAATGTTACATTACAAAATGATTCAGCAAGATTTTAACACCCTATTGCTTTATGTCTGAATTAAATAGATAAATACAAATATCATGCCTATTATAATCAAATTGTCCATACTTGTCAGTTCCAGTGAAAAACAACAAACTTAAATGCAACTTTAATTTCACTTCAATCTTAATTTCTAGATTTATTAGGAGTAATTTTGCTTAGGGCTATTAAGCTATTAATATTAGTTAAACTTTTGAAACTTATCAAAATAATTTTCTGTACCAGTTATTGATTTTTGTCATTACAGCCAAAACAACAACAAAAAAAACATAATAAAAGATCAATAAGTACAATATCTATTTGAAATTGTTGTTTCAGAGTTTCTGAACTTTAATCTTTTGTTAATATTGGTTAAATGATGTATGTGTCTGTTAAACATATAAAACATGCAAAACAATATACCCTTGGCCAGAGTGTTAAAAATACTTATTAATAAATAAAGTAAATACAATAGGGAAAAAAATACAAATTAAGTAACACAAACAGGTAAAGTTAAAAGCAAAATTACCACACTATAAAATCAGCAGAATTAAATTAACATTAACAAGACGACAACTTGCTGTTGAAGCTTCATCCTGAATAAAGTATCCAAGAGGTTCATTCATGACTGCTGTGGTTGATGTGGAGATGTATCACTTTCTGGTATTATTCTATGTCTGAAGGCAGAGTTACAGGATATAATTCATATTTGTTTCACTTGCTTTGTCTTGAGAATAAATGTGCTGCTTTTCTATCTTTCTGATAATTCAGAGTTTTCTTACAAGACCTTGAAGGATGTCTGGAGGCTCCAGAAACTGTCGGAGCTTGTTTTCTCCAGCTAGTGAGATTATTAATACTTATTTTTAAAAATATTTTATTATTTTTGGTCATTTTTCTCCTTTTTTTTTTATTTAAAAATGTATTTTTTTCTCAATCTTCAGAAGGAAAGCTTCCAGATGTATGAGATGTACTGTCAGAATAAGCCACGTTCTGAAGCGCTATGGAGACAATTCTCAGACTGTGCCTTTTTTCAGGTAAGTTGTTCAGATGTTTTACTCTTTTCAACTGTCCTAATGTTGTCTGGGGAAACTTTAAATATTTTAAAATTACTATAAAAATGTCTGTATGAATGAAAACAAATAATAATAAAAGTAAAAAAAGAATGTCAAAGAAATATTTCAGAAAATATTTGAGTAGTCGTTGCACAGTGTGTGTTTGACAAATGCAAATAATTTAAATAAATGTGATTAACTCAGTAAGTTAAATCCATCATTTATCTTCCACATGAAGGAGTGTCAGAAGAAGCTGGAGCACAAACTGGGCCTGGATTCCTACCTGCTCAAACCGGTCCAGCGCCTCACAAAATACCAGCTGCTGCTCAAGGTTGGAAATTCATGAGCTGCTTTATTCATTAAACATACGATTTCCAATTCCAATAATAATAATAATAATAATAATAATAATAATAATAATAATAATAATAATAATAATAACATCTAAATATCTTAGTTTTAATATTTTATGTGAATTTCTGTGCGTCTTCTCCAACATGTCTGCATGTTTATATTCTCAGGAGCTGCTGAAGTACAGCCCGGATTGTGAAGGCACCTCTGAACTGCAGGGGGCGCTGACAGCCATGCTGGATCTGCTCAAGTCAGTCAACGACTCCATGCATCAGATTGCCATTACAGGATACGAGGTTAAGATAGTATTTTTCTTCTCTTGTCTTAATTCCTGCCTTGTATTTAATCCTCAGTATTATTTACAAAAACCTGGAATCCTCCTCTGTCCACCTCAGGGGGAGATCTGCGAGCTGGGCCGTGTGCTGATGCAGGGCTCTTTCAGCGTGTGGATCAGCCACAAGAGAGGCCCCACACGCATGAAGGAGTTGGCTCGCTTCAAGCCAATGCAGAGACACTTCTTCCTGTATGAGAGGGCTCTGCTTTTGTGTAAACGCAGAGAGGATCATGGAGACGGCAGCGACAAGACGCCTTCCTACAGCTTCAAGCACTGTCTGAAGGTTGGTCTGTGTGCTGCAGGCTGCTTGGGATCGGAGTGTTTGGCTGTGATTCACCAGTCTTGGACAAGGAGATGATATTTGTTCCCATCAATCATCTCAGTCATGAGGGAATTCTTACAAGGAGAAGCCAAACACATTTAACCTCTGAATGCTGTTATTTTCTAAAACTCTCCTCCATCATAATCTATTAATTCTTGGATGATGCAACGCCTTGTGTTCGCACCTCTTCAGTTTGTCAAAAACAAACTTCATTGTGTTTAATTGTGGATTTTGTGTGATTTAACACAAAGTAGCCCATAATTGTAATGCACTGAGTTTCCAGAGTCAATAGCCTGTGGAACTAGTTCTCTCAGCTTACTCTAAACAAACTCACAACAAAGTCTGAGAATTTATTAATTAAGTTACAGCTAAAGGCAGATGGCTGTATTTCATTTAGGTGGATCAGAGTAAAGGGGCTGAATGCAGATCCATGAAAAGTGTTGAAGACACAGAGAGCCTTAATGTTTGATACTTAAATAACTAACTAACATTTACTGCATCCGAGGGAATTTGCAAAATTCATATTGCATAAAATTATGTTGCAGATAAATGTGCTGTCCTCCCATGAACAGGTTAATCCAGGTGGAACTTCTGGATGTTGTCTTTCTAGATTAGCATAGACTGCCACATGTTTCAGACATTGTTTTATGAAGAATCTTAAATCTATGGATTATTTTCTTTATATTGTACACTTTTACACCACTTTGTGTGTGGCTCTCTCATAAAACCCTCCAAAAATACATTCATTTCCCTTCACTAATAACACACAGATGAAGGGAAGCTGTTTGCAGATGACTCAGATCAAAGTGGTGTCTGTCTTGGTGTCTTCAACATGGAGCCACCCTCCTGGCCACCGAGCAGGATGTCTTCCTTTGACACACTTTTTTTTTTTTTTTTTTAATCTGTTGATGTGCAGAGAGTCACATCTGGCGTATTATTCTCACCAACCGCAGATCCTTGATTTATTATTGAGGATGTGGGAAGGAAGCGCTGTGTGACTGAAAGAGCAGGAGTTTCTGGGTTGAAACGGGACAGATGTGCTGTGTGGTGTAACTCTGAGGCGTTGTTTGTGTTGCTCGTCCTAAACCTCCTGGTGTCTGTCTTCGGGCAGATGACTGCTGTGGGGATCACAGAGAACGTCAAAGGCGACGTGAAGAAGTTTGAGATCTGGTACAGCGGCAGGGAGGAGGTTTATGTGGTCCAGGTAAGAGGCTTGATTGTGTTAAGTGATTGATTTTCAGGCGACATCTGCATTTTAAGCACCACAATGTTACAAAATAACGAGAATCGTTAAATAATCAGAATATATTTGTTCATAAAATGGGAATGATTTTACATTTTTTAGGCTCCCACAGTCGAGGTAAAGATGGCCTGGCTCAATGAACTCCGTCGAATTTTGACCAACCAACAGAAGCTGCTTAGAGGTTCGTCAACAAACTGGTGTATTAAAATATAGAAAAGGGTAGAATATCCTTTATTGTCCCACAGTGGGGATATGCAGGCATACCAGCAGCATGGTAAACATACATTGAAGCATGCATATCCAAACTAAGGTTAGAAATATAAAAGTAAGAGGCAAAATAAGGGCAAAAATACTTTTACTTTGACAGTTTTGCTAAAATCAGATTTTAGATGTGTTTTCATATTTTCTTAAAAGTACAATGAAGTTGGCCTTTAAGGACACTAATTAATTTCCTTTGCACATACACATGTTAACGAAATGTTCAAAATCATAAGATTACAGCCCGGATTTTTCTGCCGACACATTTCTTTCTTTCTGGAAATAGCATCTTTGAAGTCTTTTTTTTAGAAAAAGCTCTGTGCATGTCTCCTCACAACCTGCTGCTCCTCTCCTTCTCCTAGACGAAGTGTATCAGCACGGCCCGGTGGCTGAGCACATGCAGCTCTCTCCTTCGCTCACTGAGAGGTCAGTACCTTTTCTGAGCTGTTAGTGTGGCAGGAGCGTGAATGTGGGTTGTATGAGCATAAAAATATGCAAGCATTTGCAAAACACAAAGGCACCTCCGTGCAAGTCTGTTTGTTTTGTCATATGAGATCAAAGTTTTAGAGAATGTGATTTATTTTTCATGTTGCCATGGGGACTTTATGCGAGCAGGCAGAGGCCCGTCTCTGTTCATGTTCACTGCTGTGTAGTTGCCTTTCCCCACTCCTTCACGTCCCCCCCCTGCAGGGGCATGCGGCCGTCCAGAGGGGCCCCCAGGGGCTGTCTGCCGGGGCTGGACTTTGTCTCTCTGTCAGCTGACGTGTTTGTGTGCCTGCGGTCCCGGAGCCCCCGTCCCCGGAGCCCCAGGCAACGGCCCCGGCCGCGCCCCCGCTGCTCCCAGCGCTACTGACCTGCCGTAACGCTCAGTGGTAAACTCTGCCTGGCTCGCCTCATCATGGCATGAGGACAGGAAACCCTTCGCTGCTGTGTTTTTGCACCACTAAACATTTTCTGCTCCCCCTTACTTTCCTACGGCCTCCATTGTGGTTTATAACTCATTCCACCTTGCAGCATCCTCCATGGCTTTGTCGCTTTGTATCGAAAACTCCCCAAATTTTTTTGGATTTTAGAACTGCTGTTTTGCATGCTCTGCAAAATATGAAGTTTTTGTTTAATTTTATTAGTTTTCTGTATTATTTTATCAAGATTGGACTCGTTTTTTTTAGGTAAGAACTTTCCAAATTTAGGCAGGGAGATTGTTCTTCACTGCAAAACACAAAATCCTTCCAACTAGTTTCTTATGCAAATATCTTAGTACATTTGAAATAAGACAAAACTAACTTAAAAGTAACTTTTCAGCAAAATATAGGAGCTTCTTTTAAGTCCCAAACTCCTTTTTATTGATGAAAACGTACTGGTTCCACTGGCAGATTGTTGCACTTATAACAAGATATTTTCCCTATGTTGTAAGTTAAATAATCCGCTGGTAGAACTAGAACTTTTCATTGACATTAACAACTTAAAACAAGCTCCTATTTCTTGCTGAAATGTTAGTTTTATCTTATTTCAAATGCACTAAGATATTTTCACTATAAACTAGATAATAATACTTGGTAAGTTTTTTTTTTGTTTGTTTTTGCAGTGTTGAAGATCGATCGATTTATTAACCAAGTAGTTAATAAAGAAGACAATCAATTCCTTAAATTTGGATCCCTATAAATCGAGACCAGATCTCAGCTGTTGTGAACACGTGACTCCTGAGGGATCACTCTGTTAAAGTTCTGTAAATTTTGCTTCCTGCGTTGAACTGGGAGGCTTACAAATGGCTGTCTGGGCTCTGTGTAACCTGGCTGGTGCATATTTGGTTGTGGCTGTGTGAAAAACATGAGGACAGAGCTGTTATTGACAATTATCTATTATAAAGCTAACCCCTGAGGAAGACACTTATCCTGAGCATGACTGCGATGTAAAACTGTTGGTGTTTTTTTTTTATTTGCTTGTTTTCACAGCAAACAGCAGAGGGCGTCGGTGAGCTCAGAGGACACTGAGTCGGGGAGGAGCAGCCCAGAGCCCCAGTCTCACTCCCCTAAACACCAGCCGAACCGTCGGAGTGAGTGAAATGCCTCTGCTGCAACATTCATGTTTTATAATCAAGTAGATACTTAGTAACAAAATCATAGAAATCAGTTTTAGAGGAGCTGATGCCCAACATATTTGCTTTGCACCCTGCTGCAGCGCTGATTTGCCCCGCCGCCGTAAACTAATTTAGATATTTGACTTTTCATCCCCAGCAGTTCAGGTGTACTTTGACCTGAAGAACCAGGTACATCGAGGACTTTGTGGGAAAAAGCTACTGAGATTAGCTTTTGATTCTACATTCTTTTTAATGTCCCAGTAAGTTTTAATGTCAACATAGTTACTAAGTATCTACATGGTGCTGGTTATGGTGCACTGCAGAAACAATAGGCGTTTTTAAGAAGCTTTAGCAGAACGTCTGTCTCCAGGTTGGCCCGGAGCTCATCACTCGGTAGACATCTGCGAGGGTCTGGAGGAGTGGCCTGGAGATCAGGACGCCTTCCTCCCATCTGAGACGGAGGAGAAAAAAATGGTCAAAATAGTAAGGGAACAACAACAACAACAAAAAAAAAACCCCAGTAAATTCCTGCTTACATTGTCTTGCAAAGGTATTTGCTCCCCTGATGTGATAGACAAATGCAATATAGCATATACATGATGCATGGCTTTTAAAGTTTTTGTTTTTACAAACAAAATACTTAAAAGTCATGTGCATTTGAACAACTTTTTGCAGCAATGTATGGTATCACATCTGGAGATTTAGAGATTTTCCCATTCTTTGTTGCAAGACAATTTAAGTTCATTCAGGCTGTAAGTAGGATTAGGGTTTGGACTTTGGCTAGGCTACTCTAAACCATGCAGTAGTACAGGCATCTGCAACCTTTTCATCCTAAAATGCCATTTCCACTCCCTGGTCAGTCACATTAAATTTGTTTAGCACCACAAATGTCAAAAGATTTCTTTGAAAAAAAAAAATTAACTTAGGATTTTAGATAAATATCTGCTCTAGAAAATTTGCTGTCATTCTTTTAAGAAACAACATTTTATCTGTATTTCTTCTGATTTAATTGAAAGATAAACATCAGATTTAGCAAAAAGAGGACAGACCTTTTTTTCTGTGGGATGGAAATGATGCAAAAGGCACATAGATTCCATAGATTTCAACAAAGTACCAGTATACTGGTACTTTGTTGTAAAAGTACCAGTATACTGGTACTTTTAGTGTCATTCTCTGCAGAAATTTGATGTAAATATTGCAGGAAAAACTAACAATCACATTTCACCATGGAGATGTATTCAGGGAGATGTGCTTCACTTTTTCACCAAACAAAATGTTTTTGTAGGCCAAAAATGACATTTTCAACCCCAGCACCTACTTCCAGATGTTTTCTTTATTCACTACTGAAAGTTTTATCTCTATTTTTTAAACAACAGCATTTTTGTAGCCATTCTTCAATAAATGCCAGATTTATAGAGTGCATAAATAATAGTCATCCAGTCAACATCTGAACTGTGAATCTGTGCTGCACGTCCCGTTACCATGTGCCTCTTGTATGTTTTGAAACCATACATTTTTCTGCTGAGTTAGTGTTTTTTTTGTGTGTGTCACTAACTTTTTAAAAATCTGTTTTAGACCCAAGGCAAGTACAGAGCTATGGCTGACTGTCCCCAAAACGGACCAGGCAGCATCATCATCAAACGCGGAGATGTCATCCATCTACAATGTGAAGACAACAGGGGGCGCTGGTGAGCCTCACTGGAATGTTCAATAAACGAGGCTTAAAAAGCCTCTAAAAACAATGAAACTACACAAAATGCACTGTATGTTCATTCATCCTATTTCTCAAAACAATTCCCCCATTCATCATGGTGGTGGAAAGGCTTGTGAAAAATCTGAGTCGGCAGCAGGAGGGCTTCATAGCAGCTGCCAGCCTGCAGCTCATTATAGGAAGCAGCAGCCACGAGCGCTCTCCCAGACTGGGAGGTAAAGAGACTTTATCTGCTTAGTCATGGTTACCATTTTATTTTGATTTCTTCTTTACAAAACCTGCGCTTTATTCTTGCAGACCCCGGGAACCTAAAGGTGAGAAAGCTGAGCTCCCCATAGAGAACACAGGACAGAGGATGAATCTCATGCTGGATGATGAGCAGAGCAGACTGAGTCATCGCTGTCTCATAGCTGAGGCTGCCAATATCTCCTCTCCTCTTAGAGGCTGCTTCCTTCAGCACACTTCAGTTCTTTAAAAGAAGAGGCAGAGTCAAGTGAGCCGATTTCCTCCCTCGGTTTCTGTTTTCGACCTCCTGAACGGACGTTTTCTGATGATGAGGATCACTGCAGCGATCACCTCAAAGCCACAGGAGAAGTTAAAGCCCTACTGGACAATCAACGGCTGACCTGGCTCATGTTCTTCCCTCTTTTTGAGGCGCTTCCTCTGCAGCATATGCAGTCAGCATGTGAGTTTGCCACTGCAGCAGTGTCTCATTTCACAAACTGTGGACTCAGTGTTTCCCAGCAAATACTTGAGGTTGGCTCTAAGAGCTTGTCTTTCTGCTTTGTTTCAAAAGGATGAAAGCCAGGATTTAATCCTTAAACTGTTTTACAAATTGCATCCTTTTTTAAAAAACTTTTAATGAATTTCATGTTCATGTCTGTGTAAAACATTATTTTTTTCCTCATGTTGCCACTCTTCTGTACAGTTAAGAGTTTAAATGCCAAAACGTGCCATGCCTTATTGCCTTTTTATTCCTGCTCTTTTAAAGTCTTTCTATGTACTTTTTCTTGGTTCTAACTGACCTCACAAGACATCATCAGGCACTTTAAAGAGGTGGCTTTGTTATGTTTCAAGGCCATTTATCATTATTGCTGCATTTAGGCTTGTAGCTCATGACAGATATTATTCTCTCAAATTGAGAACTATGAAAGTAAAGCAAAAACAGATTAAGAATGCAGTTAAAAGTTGCTGAAGATGGATGATGCTATGGTTTAATGCCAAAGGCTGCAGCCACCGCATGACACAATGACCACCCAAAGGGAAAGCGGAGAGAGTAATGTGAGTTCATAAAGTGAAGATCTGTTTGCCGATTTGTAAAGTTAAGAGGAGGAAATAGAGTGAAATGTTGTCTGGGAGTTTGTAACTTGGAGACTTAGCAAACCTTAGCAAAATGTATCGAAGTAGAAATGCTTTCAAATATTTTAAACTTTTTTTTTGTCATAAAAGTGTGTTTTAAATGTACTTATCCCATTTGAAAACCAATGTAAAAGCTCACTGTGATTTATTTTTTTTCATTCTTTCAACATTTTTAGGTATTCCAGCCATAAACTTTTTTGATCTTTGGCCTTTAACTCCAAATCCACCTGCTCTCTACTGAATGTGCTCTTTGCTTGCTGCTTTACCTCTTTCACTGTGTTTCCGTTATGCTGTGCTTCTTTGTTTACCCCTAAATATTTGAGGGATTGGGAATGCAGGGGAGACATTACCCCCCTGTATGGACGGCAGCAGTTGGCACTTGAAGGATGATATTGTAAGACACTGATTAGCACGATAGAGACCGGAGGTAACGTGTTCCTTGGAGGGCAGCCGAGCGCAAGATGCTGTCATCTTACTGAAGATTTCCTGAGAGGTGACTGTCATTCACAGCACAGACAAGAAGGATGGAGAGAAAACGATGCTGTGCTCAATCAACAGAAGAAAAATGAATCCTCTCTCAGCATTATAGCTCAGTAACTCTTTCCTTCCCCGTCAAAAGGGATGCCTTAGAGCCAACGTGAAATTTATATGCTTTGTGTTGAACACTTAATTAAATATTGATTACAGACTTATACGATTTACCACATCAAATTGAGTGGCTGCAATAGGCTGTTGTTGAAATGGAAACGGGTCCAGAAAGTGGCAGTGACTGCTGCACACCTCACACCTCCTCAAAAGGTAATTTCTTTATTTTCTTGTTATATTGTGAAGTATCTGTTCAGTCCCTAAGGAAATCACACCTCCATATGTTCAAAGAAGCTATGCATAAGTGATGTGACAATATCAAGATGGTTTTCCTTTTTTTTTTTATCCAAAATGCTGCACAATTTGCACAGATGTCGCTACAGAAGGCAAAAAAGTTGCTTGAATCCTGCTGAGCCATGTAACATACGCTTGTTGCTGAACATTTTGTTTTTATACTGAAAATGCATGGCAGTTGGACATTTGATTTAATTTTGTTTTTTTAAAATGTCTTTGGTTCTTTTAAAAGTAATCTAATAATATTAACATATACACTGCAATAACAGTTTTTAGGGTAGCCGAATTTCATTGTTAACACAGTGAATGTAAACTAATATGTCTGTATTCTTGTTTCAGAAAAAAACATGTAAATAATAAATCTATCCTGGATGTTTTTTAAATTGTAAAGTATCTGAAGCTTTGGCCTTGAAAGGTTCAGTTGGCTGCTGGCTTCTGTTTGATGCTCTTGCTGCGTTGCTATTGTATAAAGAATATATTTAGTTATCGCAGTTTATTTATTCTAAATCTTCCTCATGTTTTTGTCCTTATAGATGTTAGAGAACTGTAGAAAAAAAAAAAACGCCTTGAGGCCACGAACTCAACTGGTTGATTGGGACAGACAGAAAAAAACAAACTTCCCTTTCTCACTGTTATGAATGTAAACTTTAATTGGAAACATGTTTATTTTTGAGTTTTTTGGCAACAAACACTTCAGATGGGTGTACGACAAGGATCTGCAACTTTTACACTCCAAAGAGCCAGTTATGGCTTCATAAAGGTAAATAAGGCTCAGTCAGGGCTGCAAATGTCATATGAGATATTTTAAATATCTAATAAAAACTATTATTAAAGAAACGACATTTTCAAATAAAGAAAAATGTTAAAAGTTTTGTAAATAGTTTCTTCTGTAGCAGATCCCTGGTGTGGAGTGAAGCGCATGACAATTACAGTTATAAAGTACGGTGGAGGATCTGTAATGCACTGGGCCTCTTTTTCATCCACATTCTGTGGGAACCGTTTAGAGTTCATGTCATTGGCATCACAAACTGCTTTAAGAAGCATCATTATTGAGTCCTTACTCCAAAACACACAACAGAAGTGATTGACCTTCTGCTGTGAGACCGTCTCAGTCCAGAATCTGCTACAAACCCTGAGATGTGACCTAAAGAGAGGACTGTAGAATATTAAAGCATAGAGGTCAAACTCCACACCTTGACGACCACCATCCTGTTCACCAATCAGGTCCTTCCAAGGTCTGCTTGTAACCCAGCCTTTGGATTCAAAACGATGCAGGACATTAGAAGTTGAGGACTCGAGTTAGACACATGATGTAAAGAGAGAGTATAAAAAAGAATCCAAAAACATTTTAGGATACGACTTAAGTGCTTTTCGTATTGCACAAAGATTTTTTTTTTGTATGGTATTAACAGCAAAGTTATGAAAATGGTTCGTCTTGTACTTTTGTCTCACTGAAAGAAATTTAGGTTGGATTCTTCCATTTTTTTTTCAGTGTCATCCTATGCTACTGTAATGCAAGATTGATTTATTTTAAGGTGATTTGCTAATTGATGTGCCAATAATGTGGCCTGTGCTGTACATCAACATCCATGCACAGTCATGAGTCTGGGTATTCCACATCCATAGCCAGCCTGCGTTTAGTTACACTCATCGCGTACTTTATCCAGCTGTAGTAAACAGAAACCCGGGTGTACACGCCGTACTTCCCTTCTTTTGCACATTCCTCCCCCCAACTCACAATCCCCGTCAGGAACCAAGTGTCTCGGTAGCTTTTTGCGTGAGGACCTCCGCTGTCGCCCTGGCAGGCATCTTTGGCCACGTCGTAGAATCCGGCGCAGAACATGACAGGAGTGATCCTTTCGTTGCTGCTTTTCTTACACTCAGTCTGATCTACGAGGGGAACCTCGACCTTCTGCAGAATGTTGGACGTGATCCCCATGAAGCGAGTGCGGCCCCAGCCGCTCACCGTAGCCGGGGAGGGTTGCTTCACCAAGTCCTCGATGAAAGCCATGGGCCCGATGCAGATCGGCCGGACTGTTGCTGAGAAGCTGATGGGCTCTTTGAGGTAGAGCAAGGCAATGTCGTGGTTGTATATGTTTAAGGTTGCGTTGTAGCGTGGGTGTGGTTGTTCCTCCAACACCTCGTAGTCTTTCTCTCGGCCCTCCGTGATTTCAGTGTTATGTTCCCCTGTTGGCAGAGAGATTTGATATGAATTAAGCTCCATACAAATTAACCACCGTTTGTGGTCATTCTATAGGAAGCACATTTGACAGCAATAAATAGAAGAAATTAATTTGTTCCGCCCAATTTCTGCCCACCTGGAAAAAAAAGCCACTAAATAAATGATTTTGTTGCAAAGAGTCTCACACCAGAAAATCCCATTTAAAATTGAATAAATGTATTTATCAGGGAAGGAAAGGAAATGGAAACGGCTGTGTGGTTGCAGATATTTAGCTTTAAGTAGCCGCTCAGTGTGTCGTCTGTGATTCTTACCCACTCTGACCGAGAAGGAGCCGGCCGCCTCCCTCAGACAATGAGCAGCAGTGATGACCCAGCGCTCCGAGAGGATGGAGCCCCCACAGAATAACCGACCACTGGGTTTCGCTATCAGTCCGACCTGGAAAAATAAAACTGATGAACAGACTGGGGGGCAGAAACAGAATGCTGTGCAGGATGCCACAATGTTCCTGATATCTGTGCGTCTAAACAGTACCTGCCAGGGAATCTCTCCTGGAGCGACTGACCTCCCACCAACTATACGTTTGAAAGGTGTTTGTGACTCCGCAGAGGTGTTTTCAGAGTGATTGGATTCCCCTGAAAGCACATCACTAAGAGACTGATTCTGACCAAAGTCATCATAGTCATACGAATCCAGATCTGGCTCTGCTGCTGCTGCTGTGGGCGTCGTGTTGGTAGGAGACGTGGCGTTCAGATGGTCTGGAAGCCCGGGGTTGTAGAAAGACCTGACGACTGGCTTCGCAATGGTTAGTCCAGTTTTCCCACAGGGGAATTCAACTGGTAAAAAAAGGAAAAGAGGTTTTAATAAGAACCAATTCTACTTTTTCTTGATATTTTAAATCCAAACCTGTTGCTTCACAGCTGACCCCATCCGACATCAACTCGTATCCTGTCGCGCAGAAGCATTTTGCCCCAAATGTTCCTATCGTGCCACAGAAATGCTTGCAGTCTCCATTGTTTACGTCGCATCTTTTTTGTAAGACTGTGTAGACAAGGGAAAAAAAACAAAACAGAACCGGGATCAAGCTTCTCCTTTGACACGACTTCAAAGACCTTTT